CAAGGGGAGTGATTTTTAGCTTGAGTTTTCCATGGTCCTATTATTCTATGAAGCTATTAGTTCATGAATAAATGATGTGGTACTATAAGGTCCAGGGAATAGAAAATTAAGATCTTATCTTGGTCACTGTTTCTGATTAGCTAAGCCATTAGTGTTGTCTCTTTGTTTTGTTTTTTTTTGTTTGTTTGTTTGTTTTTTTTTGCTCCCTAGCCTGAGGCTCCACCAACCTGAACTAGTTGGTAGAAAAGGGCTCTTTTCTTCTGTCTGAAGTCTCTCTGTGTCTGGGCTGCATAGATCTACTTCTGACACTCCCTGCAGGTAGCTATACAGGTTTCCTAGGCTTTGGGAATAGAAACACCTGGGATGATTTGGGAAGCCACATCCTTACCTGCCTTTTTCCAAATGAACTCCATATGGATGCTAGCTGAACACAGATTTAGACAGGAAAGTTGGCTTCTCTAGATGTGGACATCAGAGACAGGGATGCTGTTATAGGAAGGCCTTGTTCAGAACAAAGAACTGTAAATGACAAGAAAGTTTTAAACTCTGGATAGCTTTGTGGGTAGTGTCCTACAGCTCTGAGGTAGCCTTTTTGTTTGTTCGTTTTGGTTTATTTTTGTAGAATCCCTGCCTCAAAGGTCTTCCTCTACAGGGCAAGAGAAAGGATATAAGCCCAAGAAAATCGCCACATAAAATCCATTTGACTCAGTGATTAGAGTGGGATCAAACATGTGATCTGGGCCTAATACATAGGTGCATTCCATTCCCTGGCCAGACTTCTTGGTTACATTCATTAATATAAGATATGTTATTATGTAATGAGACTTCTGAGGATGTGAGAGCAAAGAATGTCTTTCCACTTCCAAAAACTGAGATGGCACATGTCAAACAGCTGAGCTTATTTTGTAGAAGTGGGGCAGGGACCTGTTTTTGTGACAGTAGAGAACTGACCTAACAAGACCCTTTGAGCTCCCATCACACACAGACATTTAGTTAACGGGTAAATGCACCTCCCCTTTTAACAACACATTTTCTAGTTGGCTTGGATTTCTCTTTCCTGATTGAGGTAGCCATGAATAGTAAAATGACCTTCATTCTCTGATGAACTCCACTTCTAAATTCCCACCTGTATTCTCATTCCTGATCCTGTTGGGGTTTGTGAATATTATGATCAGCCCCCAGGCCCAGAGCATCCTCACAGATTGATTTTTGGCAGGGAGTTTCTGCACATTCTGGGCCATCAGTGAAGTGAAGAAACACTCTTCACAGCTGAAGAAATTGGTATCTCTCCAACTGATTTGTTAGTGCCCTTTTCTTATTGAGCCTCAGTTCATAGTGAGGCAGGCTTGTGCCCAGAACACCACAAAGACAATACGGAGATGAAAATACAAAAACCATACTGAAAATGGATTATAGCCCCCACAAGTGACTTCTTGTGACCTCCCTCCTCACTTGGCTTTTATCAACACCAGACAGATGAGGCTCTGAGCTTCCTTTCTGAAGCAGTAGAGAGCACAGCAATGAAAACACATTGGAGTTTCATGTTCCTGGATCTCACCTAGTAGCACATCTAGGAGTGGGGCTTAGCGGAACTACTTTCTGCTGCTGGTGGCTTCCAAAGGTCTGATGAACAGAGAAACAGAAAAGGTATTACAGAGAAATGAAAGCATCTCCCCAAAGTTAAAGTCAATATCATGCTTCTCCATGTGTATATAGCTTGGAATGCCAACATCCCAGGCTTTGGAATGGAAAGTGTTTAAGGGTTTGCCACCTTGTAAGGAAGAGACACTCTGGTGGCAATTTTCTAACTCCAAGTCTCAGCTTCATTTATTGATCAAACAGCTCTTAATATCGTAAGAATTTAAAGAAAAGTTTGTAAAACTCAAATACTGGGACTCCATGATATAGTTATTTACTACGCTTTTATTATATATTTAGTGTATAACTAAGAAAATGATGAGGACTCCAATACTATTGTTTTGTGCAGAGTTCAAACATTTCTGTATATTGTTGTGAACTGCCTCAGATAGGCAGCCCTGGCTTTGCGGGTCTCCTTATCTCCTCACAATCAGGGAACATGCCTTCAAAATGTTGACATGGGAGAGGTCAGAGATAGCAAGTGAGGACTTTCAAAGATAAACCTGTCCCTCCCTCCCCTCTGCCAGCCTGCTTTCCTCAAGGCTTGGAATAATTTATGCCTCTTGCTCAGCTAAAGTATGTGGCCTCATTGAGACACTGCAAATACTGCACCAATTTTATTACAACCTAATTGTAGAGTGACAAGGGATAAATCTCGAAGATACATATAGTACGAAATGGCTGGGCATGCTTCACTTACACAAGATGCTTGCATAGAGAAGCACTAAGCTGCGGGAGGGCAACATCTGGACTTGTATGTAATTCATACAGCTTCATTTATGCTAGTACCCAGGACTCCTAGGATACCTGCAAATTAATCAGTCTCCATCGGCTTATTGCAGGGCAAAAGTGAGTTGAAATAATTGCAAGGGCCAAAGCAATGTTGGTTTACATTTCAAATGTGGTTTAAATATTCAGTGGTTTATGCTTGGCTTCTTGGGCAGCTCTTCCTTCTTGGTCTTTGAATCTATCATCTATCTATGTATTTATCTATGTATCTATGTATCTATCTATGTATCTATCTATGTATCTATCTATCTATCTATCATCTATATGTTAAAACAAGTTTAACATTCTGAAAGTATCAATGGCGTTTGAAATAAAACATATAAAATAACCACAGCTTAAAATCTAGAGACTGTGGTTAGTAAAATATCACATAAAGAAGCAAATCAAAATGAGACAAAAAATTCAGATCTTTAAATGGTTTATTTTTAAATAGCTCTAAATTTCAAACCTGAAACAGGATATTACGATTGTCACCCAACATTTATTGAGTACTATAGTAGGTATGTTGAACTTCGAATAATTGAATTGCACATTTAAAAAATAATCTGTCTCTTATGACAGAAATCAGGCAGTTCCTGGCATAATTTGACAGCAATGCACTACCTTCTGCCTTTCCCTGTCAGCGTGGTATGAGGCAATGCAATTAACATCTCTGTGATTGGTTTTGACTGTTGAGATGCTCTGTCTTCGGTAAAACACGTATTTATTTTTATGCTAAGCTTCATTATATAGGACATTTGTATCGTAAATAATTATATATTATTAGTGCTGATGAAGACTTTGAGGACCGGGCTCTGATTTAAGAAGCACTGTTCTGCGGGTTCCTCATTCTTGGTCTTTGAAATGGCCTTAAATTTCCCCTCCCTGAAGGCACTCCGCAGCCCCATTAACAGTGCCTGGTGCAGTGGGCCTTCCTTGTCCTGTGTCTCTCTAAGGCCAGCTGTGGCTCACTGCTGAGCATTCAGCCCTGGCAGTGCTTGTGTCCCCAAAGTGAGATATTCTCTGTGATTGTGACACATCCTCCTATACCCCAGCCCTGTCTGCAAGGCCAAGTCTCTCTCCTTTCCAATTACTGCATAGTAATGTAAATATTAAGACCTTAGTATCTTATCCTTTCTTTGCATAGTTGGTTCCAAACCAGAAAAAAAAACAAGCAACAACAAAAACCAAAAAACCTCTCATTCCAAGACAGTAAAGCAGAATTAGATACAAAGCAATTTTACAGAAATACTAATATTTAAGTTTTTAACATTAACCCACATATATTGTTAGAATCCATGAATTTACTTTTATATTTTCCTTTAATAAAATGTCTTTTCCTCTATGTCATGATTTGGAGTGATAAATTCTTCACTATACTATAATTCAGTTATATTTTCTATAGTTATAACATAGCTCTGTATGTTGCTAGAATTATGAAATTATTGCTATATAGAACTTTTATCATATGTTTACTCATAGGGTAAAATGGATAGGAAATTTTTTCATTTTATGTGAAAATATATTCACAAGTGAATAAATATTAGTTTCTAGTAAACACTGGGAACACAACACTTGAGGTGGGGGTGTGGTTTGTGCGAAATGTTTACTTTAATTAAGTTTCAGAAAGTTTTTCATTTTTAAGTGATTTTTCCCTTCTCTGTTTTACTCTCCAGTTCACTCTCAAAACTGTTAGTTTGAATGGATGATATGCATATATGTTGGACACATCCTCTCTTTTACAACTCTCTCCCATTCACTTAGCTCTTTATCTCACACCAGACACGAAACTATTCTTAGTTTCTTTCACAAGTTTTACCAGGAAAAGATAATATATAGTCTCAATTCTCCTTTAAGAGCTAAATGGTAAACTATAGTATATTAGTATACTGTGTATGCTCAGGATTTGTTTTTCACTAGAAATATACATAGAGAAATCTTCCCTAATTGGCTCCTCATTTTGCAGATCACTTCCCTAATTGTTTTTGAGAGTCGCATCGTGCGTACGCAAGTTGTGTGTGTGTGTGTGTGTGTGTGTGTGTGTGTGTCTGTGGTGTATGTGTGTGCACATGTCCATGCATATGTGGTGTATGTGTGTACATATGTCCATGTGTGTGTGAGGTGTATGTGTGTACACATGTTCATGTGTATGTGTGGTATATGTTGTGTACACATGTCCAGGTGTGTGCGTGGTGTATGTTGTGATACACATGTCCATGTGGGTATGTGACTGTGCTGCTTAATGTTCACATCAGGATGTCTTCCTTAATCAATTTTCCAACTTATTTTAGAGACAGGGTTTCTCTAAAGCTCAATGGTTGGGTAGACTGGGTTTCCAGTGAACCTAAAGAGATTCCCGTCTCTGTCCTCCCATTGTGAAATTACAGATTTGTGGCTTTGTCACATGGGTGTTGGGGATCCAAACTCAACTCCCCAGCTTGTTGGAGCAAGCACTTTATTCACTGAGCCGTGTCTCCTGCCTATAGTGTCCTAGTGAACAACAACTTTTTAAATTCCTTACATAGTATATGATATTTTGTTACTAAAAAAAGATGCTTGGTAAATTTTCTAATTATGAACAAATATTTCCACAGGGCAAGAGAAGTCTCCAGAAGCACAACAGCTGGGTCACAGAGTCTGCATGTGTAAGCTGGACAGTCATTGCTAAAATACCTTCTATCAATGGTACTTCAACGTGTGTTTTCACTGCTCCAGACTCTCACAGTAGATTACAGTGTAAACCTTTCAGATTTTCCTGACTTGATAATTAAACATGCTATCTCTGTATAGTTCCCATGTACATATTTCTTACTATGAGAAACACTTTTCTCATGTGACTGAGACATTTGAGTTATTTTTCTGAGAATTTATATTTTGAGCTCTTCCATTTTGCCCATATCTTTTTTTCATGGTCTTTTTTCAATGATTTCTAGGAGTTACTTCTTATTAATATCTGGGTGTTTAATGTATTGCAAATATTTTATAGCATTTTTCTAGTTTGCCCTTAATATTTTGGCTTTATGCTTTTTCTGTGCAGAATTATCTCTTTATTCTTATGGAGCCATTTTTCTTATCTCTTTTAAGGTTTCTAGATTTTGAGTCTTACAAAGTCATTCTCACCCCAAGGTAATACATTCTCATGTGTTTTTCTACTATTGTTAATTTTTATTATTATGCTTACATCATTGATATATTTGGAATTTATCTGGAAGTATAATGTAAAATTCAAATTTTCTTTAGGGAGCTACCCAATTTGCTAATAGAAGTTATTGATTAATGTATGTTTAGCCAGAGAGGAGTCAAACTTCTCATACATTAAAATTCTATTTGTACTTGCATCTATTACTGGAGTCACCATTATGTTCCATTGTTTTGTCATTACCATACTATTCACTTTTAGTTATTGAATTATTTTGCATTTTAATATTTCTTAAGGGTAGCACACCCCCAATGATATTTTGTTGAGAATTTTTCTGGCTATTTTTTGCTTATATATTATATGAATTTTAGAATCAACTAGCCTCATTTTAAACACTTTTTATTATATATTTAAATTAGAAACAAGCTTGCTTCCCATGTTAATCCCAGCTCCCTCTCCCTCCCCTCCACGCCCACTCCCCCTCACCCAGCTCCTCCAGGCCCCCACCCAATCCCCACTCCATTCCCCAGGGAGGGTAAGGCCCTCCATGGGAGATCTCTAGAGTCTGTCATTTCATTCCAGGGAGGGCCCAGGCCCTCCCGCAAGTGTCCAGATTGAGAGAGCATCCCTCATTGTGGGATGGGTACCCAAAGTCCCATAGATTGCCTAGGTCTCCTCACTGACACCCACATTCAGGGGGTCTGGATCAGTCCCATGCTGGCCTCTCAGGCATCAGTCTGGAGTCCAAGATCTCCCCCTTGTTCAGGTCAGCTGTTTCTCTGGGATTCACCAGCCTAGTCTTGACCCCTTTGCTCATCACTTCTCCCTCTCTGTCACTGGGTTCCAGGAGTTCAGTTCAATGTTTAGCTGTGGATGTCTGCCTCTGCTTCCGTCTGTCACTGGATGGAGGTTCTAGGATAACTAGCCGCGTTTTAAAAAAGTTTTCTTATTTACTGAAATGTCTTTAAAATTGTAAATCAAATTAAGGACAATATCTCCATGATGCCAAGAATGCTAATCCAAGAATATACTTACGTCTTGATTTGTTCAAGTCTTTTTTTTTATTTTTCACTGCATTTGTAGGTTTTCTGCATACAGATCTTACATGTTTCAATTTCATTTTCACTGCTAGATTTTGATGTTGTTATTGCTGTTATGGAGAAATTACTGCCTTTTTGTAACTTTTAGAATTGGTGGCTGTATCCTATGAAAGCCATTAATTACTGTCTATTTATTTTCACTCTCTTAATGAAGTTGACTATTACTTGCAGTTGTTTTAAAATCCAAACTCAAAGAATCAAAAACAGTGATATGTGTAACTTCTCCTTTTATAGTTCTTTCCTATGATATTGTATTGGCTACCAATACAACATTAATTGCACAACTGTGCCTCTGGTATCATAGTAAATAATGGCCCATTAAAGGCATGGCTGACTTTGTTGCTGAATATAAAGGGAATTACTTCAGTACAGTAGTTCTCAACTTTGATGGCACAGTAGAAAGATTTAGAGCTTTAAGAAATTCTGCTATCCAGGCATCATTCTGTAATGATTAATTAGAAAACCTGATGGCAGGACCTAAGAATCAGTACAGTTAAAAGCTGTGGATGTGTGGAATACAAAAAATAATAAAAAATGAACAACAAAAAATGAGCATCTTGGACTGAGGTACTCAGGGTAAAATAACCTGCTGTTTGAGTATGTGAGTTTGGAACTTCAGCACCCATGTACAAAGGATGAGTGTAACAGTACAGATGTGTAATCCCAGCATGGGAGGATGGAGACAGGCAGATCCCTGGGTATTGCTGGCCAGCTAGTCTAACATAATTGGTGAGCTCTGGGTTAGGTGAGAGACCCTGTCTCAAAGAACACAGTGGGCAGTGACCAAGAAAACTAACTGTAGACCTCTGGTTTCCATATGTATGTATGAGCACAGTTTGTTTATCACTTACACATACACACAAATAAAATAAAGTTATTTTTATTGTTAAAAATAATAGTCCTATTAAAATATAAAGCCCCAATGTTAAAAAAAAAAGCTCTGGATGTGATTTCACACACAGCTAAGATTGCACGTGTCATCATTTTTCTTGACTGGTGCTTGTTTTTAAGATGAAATAGATATTTTGTTAGACTAAGAAATTATATTTTAATCTTATCACTTTAAGTTTTAAAATTTTGTTGATGCAATGTTCTTCGTACCCCAAGATACTGAATTCTATTGTAACATAATTACCTCTATTAATGTAATGAAGAATATTAATGAACTTCATAATATGGATCTCTATCTGCATTTTGTAAATAAAGGTCACTCGGTATAGTAGTCTTAATATTCTGTTTATTGTTTGTACTGATGATTTTTCAATGACTATGCTACTTGTTTTGCATGTGGAAAGTCATCCACCATGTCTGGTTTCAGTGCTGCACTGAGATTATAAGTGCACCGTGGGCCTTTTCCTATGTTTCACAGAAGCCTGAGCTGGTGTTTGAGTGAGTTTCTGTCTTGCAGTTTGGCTGAATCCCCTTGCAAAGCTCATGTACCATTGCTCTCCTGAGAATGGGAGGCTGAGAGTTGGGGTCAATGGTAGCATTGTTTTCTTCTTGTGCTCTAGAAACCACTTAGTTCAGACACCCCTCTCTTAATGTGCACGTTTAGGTAAGTTACAGTTTCTTAGACATCTGATATGAAATCCAGGTTGGGTTTCTTTATATTTTTAAAGTTTTATTTATTTATTTGTTATGTATGTGCCTTTATGCCGGAAGAGGCCATCAGACCCCACGACAGACGGTTGCCAGCCACCATGTGAGTGCTGGGAATTAACATTGTGTTTTCCTTAACATAGAAATACAAAAGTTCTCCAATTTAAGTCTGCATTTCTTTTTTTTTTTGAGCCAAGTGTTGATTAAAATTTCAAAATTATCTTACAAAGATGTCTTTTTTTTTCTCAAAAGACAAAAACAAAAACAAGAAAACAAAAAGCAAAACTGCTTTGCTTATTGCATAGTTACCAGTTGCCATTTTCTCCACTTTTTGGAAATTTCCTTTGTGGTTTAAGACGTTTTCCTGTGTTGTTGTATACTTTGTGGTACTTGACTCTCAGGCACACTTTTGAGGGAGTAGAGTTTGATATATGTTCATACATTACCATATTAATCATGTTAGGTAGGTCTTCGTTTTTCTATTCTTCTTACTATGCCAGGAACTCTGAGCTGAGTTAAAATAGTGCACTAGCTGCATATTTATGAATGTACTAGTGGATATTCGTGAACTCTGGTCCCAGACAGTATCTATTTAAATGTCCATCTTCTTTATGGGTGAGCCCACCGACATTGTAAAGGCTTCCTCCCCACGTCTGAACTCCCCTCGATGCTACTCAGCTCACTTCCTATGCCCTTTCATCTCATCTGCATTTACTACATTTGCCTCCCTTCTTTGGCTTTTCAATCTTCTTGAGTCACTGTTTACTAGTGCCTCCCATGTACCCCTGTCTGCAATTAAGTTTTGTTTTGCGATCCAACTTGAAGATCTTTTCTTTCTGGGCAAAGTTCATTTACATTGATGTGTGTGACTGATGTTTTTGGATTTTTTGTCATTCTATTTATATTTTTTTAACACAAACAGTCTAGGCCATTCACTACATGTTCTGTTTTCTTATCCCTGTTTGCTTAGTTTTTCTAGTATTTAGAGAAGATGTGGTTTTACTCTAATGGTCCCCTTTATAATTACATCTTTATTGTAATATCCAGAGTTTCATAACTCAGAACAGGTGGTGTGACTTGTAGGATGTCCTGGGTTAACGGATGAGACATCTGGTGGTAGCTGGCCAGGGGTAAGGGTGGAGCTTCTCATAGGATCTCAAAGCTGTATGAAAGGCTAAGGCTGTTGTCAGTATCTCATCAGACCTGGGAGCCCACCTGTTGACAAGATATGCTCTTCCTTAACAGTGAAAATAATTATTAGCTTGCTTTTTCTTTGCATGCAATGTTCTTTGTTTAGTTTTTTGTGCTTTTCTTCGTATATTTATATGACTGAGTTGTCAACTTTAAATAATATCTATTAATTCCAGTGGTTACACATCCAGCTGTCAAGATAAGCACAGTTATATCTCCTTTCCTGTTCCCTCCCATTTGGTGGTTTGGTGAGAGGCTAACTAGACCTCTTCTCCTTTATTGGAGCGCAGATGCTTTGTGACTTTCTAGTTCACATATTTGTTATAGCCTTTGTTACTTATACATTCAGTGTGGCTGTTACTTTTATATTCAATGTGGCTGTTACTTATACATTCAATGTGGCTTTCTTATCTTCTAATGCTATCATTCTATCCTTAGGTTTTAGACGAGATCGGGCGCGTTCAGGGTGCTATGGCCATAGACTATCCTTAGGTTTTAGAAATTCTTCATCACTGTGTATTTTTTAATCTTGCTTCTTTGTTGAGATGGGATCTCACTGTAGCCCAGCTTGCCTAAAGTTCTTGGCAATCTTGCTGCCTCAGCCTCCCAAGTATTTAATTGGTGTTTCATTATTGTTTTCTACATTGTTTTTGGCCTTGCTACTCCAAAGTACTATTAACATCTGAGCATCACTTGGGAGCTTACTTTCCATTTTTGTTATAATCTCTTTCTCCTAATGTCACAACTGTTTCCTCATTTTATTGCTCAACACTGGTAGAACTGAATTCCTCTGGACCAGCTATGTCCAAAGAGTAGAGAAACAGAGAGGAATAGCAAGGTCCCACATGCTTTGATGATTCTATATAAGGAGTTGAAGGAAGGGTGGGGAGTTATTTAAGTTGATGAATGTGTCACAGTCCTGTTAGGCTTTGGAAAAATAGTAAACTTCAAAACTTTCCAGGAAAATGTGTTCAGCTGGGAGACAGAAATCAAAGAACTATAGTAAACAAAATATCTAGAGAACAATAAGAAAGTGACCCTGCTTGGAGGACATCCCACCAGGAAGAAAACTTTTCCAAGAACTCAGCTGCAACCTCTCTCATCCCAATAGCTCTTGCTCTTCCCTTCCTGCCTCTGAGGTTTTCATCACTCACCGTGGCTTTCCTTTTAGTTCCTTGATAAATTTCCCCTGGAACATTTTCAAGCTTTGTTTTGTTCTTCCTCTAAATTTTCTATTCTATGCAATATAATTCTGGGGAAATGATGGTTTATTTGTTTATTTTTAAAAACCATTCTTATTTTGGTCTTTATTCACAATATTTCTGTCCCCTTCCTTCTTTACTTTCTCCTCCCCTCCTCTTTTAATTGTTTTCTTTAAAAATTATATTTTTGTCTTTAAGTGCCAATTTGGGTAAATGTAATGCTATTTCCCATCAGTACACTCCTTGGCTTTGTCTTTAAGTGCCAATTTGGGTAAATGTAATGCTATTTCCCATCAGTACACTCC